CTCTACTTCTATTTGTAGCTTTACCTTTTGTGCGTTGTATGGTTGTACTGTACAGACTTTCTCACAGCACTTTTTCAGAGCATAGTGGTCTCCTTGGAAGTCTGTGCCAAGGGTACAAAGCTGTGTTGTTTCAGAGCTGAGCTGGGTTTCCAGCTTGAATTCTCGGTTACCAGGCAGCTGAAGTCCATTCAGAAAAATACAGGATTCATGCAATTTCATGTCCCTCTTTATCAGAGCCTTCAATTGCACAGGTAAAGCCCACAGAGGCTGCCCTGTAAAATAATGATGTAAATGACATAATCCAGCACTTCTGTAATCAGAGTTCATATATATCCACTGCCATACCAAGGGAGGGCTGTGCTGAGAGAGACTGATTGCACACATTATTCTTTCAAAGATTTGAAGTCCAATAAGTATTCAAGTTATTAAAAAATAAAAAAGGAAATTTACACACCAGCATTCTCTAAACCTGTGCCTAGGTTACATAAACTGCTGCTGTGATATGTTTTAGCATTAAAGCGTTAAAGACTCCTGGAGGGGAGTCTTTAAAATAATCCGTGTTCTCTTATGGTAAAGACAGAGCAAAAACTCTTCTGTGATTTTAGCCTAGTTAGAATGGTTAATAATTTTCTTTCTGTACCAGTTATTTAAATGTCCATTGATTCAGCTTACCAGGGTTTGCAGTCTGACAGAAAACATCCCTAGCTGTAAGTGCTAACTTTAGGGACTCAGCACCCAGACAGAGCAGCAAAAGGCACTATAAAGCCCTGCAGGCAATCTGGTTCCAATGCTCTGTTTGGGAGTTTCCATATAGTTTTGATAAAAAAGCTGTGGTGGACCTTGTTGGAACAGTGTAGGAAATAACTACATGAAGGTATCAGCTTTGCCTGTGCCAGGGATTACTGCCTCTGTCGTAAAATTGGCAGATGGGACTGGAGAAGGACTTGGCTTCCAAAGTCAGACTGAGGTGTTAGTTTTAGTGCACATTTGTTACTTGTTTATGTGTAGCATTAGCATAGCTTAGGCACAGACACATATCCCTCCCTTGGTTCTGCTATGAGGGTGATAGTCTTTATGAAAAAGGTAGGCTGCAGAGCTGGTAACTGCTCTGAAACTGTTCTGCAACATTCACCAAAACTTGTCTACTACAGTTGTTTGTAGCTTTGGCAGGCTGTGATTCTTCCATCAGCAGTTTGTCACAAAAGAATCCTTCTTACAGGATGAAAGGTGGAAAGGCTGTGTTCCTTGATTCTGAATGTATTTCAAACTATAATCAGCAATCTCAAATTTTGCTGCAACATCTGAAAATCCATTTGACCTTTTTTTTAAAAAATTCTAGGTGTACTTACACATAAACTGTCCCGACTTCTTTCAATTACTTCAGTCCTGTTTCTTTTGCATGATTAAGTCTTCATTAGGGTACTGGACTTGATATACAGCTACTTGGTGCAGTAGGTTAGAATGAGAGATAGGGCCACACATGCTGAAAAATGAGTTCTGATTTAATTTTTTATATAAAGAATATCTATCACTTTCTAACTTCGTAGGTTCTTGAATGGCTTTTCCCTGCTGTGTGTTTTTGTAGATATCTGCCTGTAATAAAATATCTAGATAAAATTGTTACATCCTATATGACTTTTTAATTTTTTCTTTATTTGTTCATATTTTATAGGCCTTAAAAGAACATGGACAGGATTATCTTGTTGGCAACAAATTAAGCTGGGCAGACATCCATCTGCTGGAAGCCATTTTAATGTCAGAAGAATGTAAGCCTGATATACTGTCTGCATTTCCTCTGCTACAGGTTAGTAATCATCTGATCTCAATATGGAACGTAACATAGAAATATCACTGACCAGTCTTAAAAGTTATTTGATGTTTACATCTTTTGAGCCATTGTATTGATGGTTCTCTGGTCTATTTCTGTTGACTACAAAAACCTGAACTCACTTGCACTGCCTTGCCCCCAGAGCTGCTGGGGCCTTACCTTTCTCCAGCTTTACTTTTCCCAGCTGTTCTCAGCTGGCAGGAGTTCACTTACTGATGCTACTAGTTTGGTCCTTTAACTGCTACTTTCATGTCTTCAAACACAGCAGCGAGCATCAGGAAGGGAAGTCTGCAGCCTGGTGCGTGTACAATTCCTGTCCTTTTCTTTTTGCTAGCAAAATTGTATTTTGAAGAAATCATATAAAAAGAGCAGTTAAGTTTCTTACGTCATGACTTCTGTGGTACTTTGCACTGAAATATTCCTGTCCTTGCCTCTTCCCCATCCCCCCCCCAAATATATCTGCTGTGGGTTTTTTGCTTTTTATTTTTTTCTTCCACTTTTTACTAGATGAATCTTAACTCTTTAATTTCTCCCATCCCCATCTGGGAAACAAAGGTAAACTTTATAGCATCAGCATCACAGATCAGATAAAGCTACTACCTTTCTCTGTTTAGTAGTGTATCTGACAAAGAAAAATCTAAGTCACCTGATTATTAAGCTATAAAGGATGGAGTTATAATTTCATTACACTCATTGGCTTTACTGCTGCTTCTTACAGGCTTTTAAAGGAAGAATCAGCAACATTCCAACAATCAAAAAATTCTTGCAGCCTGGCAGCCAGAGGAAGCCACCAACAGATGAGAAGTTTGTTGCTGTTGTGAGGAAAATATTCAATATCTAATCTGCTGAAGATAGCACAACTATAGTATGTTACCAGAGCTGTGCCTTGTAAGTGTAAATTGCATAGATGTGCTCCATAGCTTGCATCACATAGTCAGTTTTGAAAAAGAATACACTTTTAAATTAGAGTAAAAGACTAATTTGGACCTGTTGAGTGCAGAAAATGGTATTTCATTAAGCAGTTACATGAAATAAAATATACTGATACTTTGTGTGTGTTCAATTACAGTACATGCTTGGTAGGATAAAATGTTTCAACTGTAGCTTCCACAGTACTGTAAAAGCTACCCTACCCCCCATCTTCCTCTTTATAAATTCCAGGAGAGAGGAGACACTCCATAAAAATGGAGAAGTCATTTAGATTCAGGCCTCAAATCTTTTGGGTTGGCTCTCTAGGTGTTCTCCTAGACCAAAGTTCACTGTCCCCTGCTGTATTTCACTGCTGTCTCTGCACTTTCAGAACTGCAGTTTAAAAATTAAATAAATAAAAACTTTTAAAAGAAAATAAAATTAAAACTCATGATCCTTGTAAGTTATTGGGCAAAAGTAGGAAATTTTTTAATCCCCGCATGAATCTCTTAGAAGCTATTTTTTTCACTGAAAGTTCAAAGTACTTGTGCTTAATTGGCCTGCTGTGGTTTTCATACACTGAAAGTACCTATTCCCTTGCTCTTGTTTTTGCTGCTTGACTGGATGGGCAGTGAGGCAAATGCCCCTTGAACGTTTTTTTGGTAAGGTTTTACCTTCTCCAGTCACTTCCCAAGTAGTTATAAAGAGAACTGCACTGACTGCTTACCTTTTCAGTGAAAGAGTTTGTTTTACCTCAACAGTGGTTAAAGCGCTCACTACTATTTCAGATTCTTTACCCTGATTTCACAGGAACCACCACTGTTCCCTTTAAGAACAGTGCCATAAACTATCCTTCTTTGCAGTTAGTTGTTTTTCTCAGTAGGACTCAAACTGATTAGGCAAACAAACAGTGGAAATACAGAATTGCTGCCCAGCAAAGTTAACTCCTTTTCTGACTTGTGCCTAAGAAAAACCACGTGCATCTCAGAGGTACAAACGACAAGCATCCCACTCACCTGGGCACTGCTGAGTTCCAAAGAGTTTTACATTAAATTATGTCATTAGCTGGAAGCAATAGTTCACCATGCCCACCATAGTACTTGTTTCATTGAGCTATTTCTCTGTTACAAACAAGAAACTGGTACAGAACATCACTGTTATGTTCTGTGAGCTTTTAGTCCCATACGATATGTTGGAGTTGCTGAGAACGCTACCCATTTTGGCTGCTCAGGAATTCCAGCACTAGCTTCTGGATTACAGTGGGGCTTGGAGGCCCCCATTCAGAGAATGCACAGAAGGATCAACTCTGGACATGCTCTAAAATGCAACATCTTAAACTGCACTTAGGATCTAGGGTAGCGGCAACTGCAGATTGCCTTCTGCATTTCAGCACTAGGTTGCCTTAGCTTTTCACTGCAGCTTAATCTAAGGCGTTCACTGTGTCTACATTGCAAGTATCCAGATCTGTATGTCACCAAAGCCTGCTATATGCCTGATATGCCTTGAAGTTTTGCTTCATGGTGAAATGAAGCACATTGTATTTGTGCAGCTGTCATCCCAATCTGAAATCTGTAACATACCAGCTCAATCACCTGTAAACCTGGCAACACCTGGAGGTGACCGATACCAACATCTGTCAGCAAAAGATTCCAGAGCTGTAGGCTGTGGTTTGGGGTTGGTAAGGATTTTTTTGTGTTATGTGTTTTCCCCTTGCTTTTTTTTGCCAGTTATGCCTTAGACATCTGAGCTGCTCACACCACCTTGTCACCACCTAAGCCCCTGCCAAGAATAATAACCTTGGTATTCCCCTAGTGGATTTGTGCACTGAGATCTGATACACGATAGCCTTCATAAGCAAGCTTTGATGAAAAAAATGAAGCAAAATTTCTGTCTTCAATATTGCACTCACCCGTACTCAATTTACTAATGGTTTGGCTGTACACTCCCTCTATACCAGAAGACAGTCTTGGCCAAACTTTGAGACCCAGGGAATATTTATTTTGTATGTAAAACAAAGCAACTTTAATCCTGAATAGTTTATGACTTAACAGTCTCCTTTGCTTCGATAAGACTGGAACAGCAAACCTGTTCCAGAGTACTGAGAGTTTGGAACCTCTTTCTGCAGGATGGCAAACCTTCCTCAGCTGTGGTTCGTGTCAATTCACAGCATGATATATGTTTTAAACCACTAGAGCACAAAGCAGACCACCAGGCTCTTCATTGAACAGTCTCACTCAGCTGCATAAAAACTTGAGAAGTTTCGAACATTTTACATTTTATTTGAACACTGATAATAGGTTTTAGATTTGGACTCAGTGGAATAAGAACATGTGTTTGAAAGGAAGGGTTAGGGTTTTCTAGTGCAATACAGTACAGGCCCGAGACTTTATTGACTTAGAACTGATTATTTAATACACAAACTACAAAATTATGCTTCAATACAAGATATCTTTTTAGCATAGAGACATATTTATATATATTCTTCTCTCAGAGATACAGTGCAAGACTAATTCAATTTCCTGGGGTGCTCAGCACCCCTAAAAGAGATCAAACTTACAGAGAAAGATTCCTTGAGTTAACAGACTGCTTACATGGAAGTAGATCAAAATATATCAACAAAATATTTGTTTTAATTTTTAAAAAAAGCTTGCAAAATATCAGCCCATGTCAATCAAATAACAGGTACAGATCTTTTACAGAAAAGATAAATGCAATGTAAGATTTGTGTTCAGACTTGTTTTAAAATATGGAGAGCATTTCTGTTTGTTCGGTGGGCACGGCAGTCATACTCATGTCTTGAGTTGCTAAATTCTACTACAGCAGCATAAAAACAAGCCTCAAAATCATCAAAAGACTGCAAAAAAACCCAAAAAAATTATAATTATGGCTGTGCATGAACAAAACCAGTGAAAGTCATCATTAAATAACAGGGCATTCATAAATAACTGATGCCTAGAGCCTCTATTAAGCAATCTTTTGAAGTGTCTAAATCTACAGACTCAGTGTCTGTTGAAACACACAGCCCACCTAGGCTGGAAGAGTGATTCACAATGGACAATAATGTTTTCTGGTTAGTGTAAGTCCTGATTCTTAAATTTTGCATCTTGACAATTTGCATCTGATTTTTATCTCCCTGTATAAAAATCCTGGAGTAAAATAGAATGGTGCTATATTAAATCTGGTAACAATGAAGCAACAGTTATTATTCCTTCAGAAGACAGAGATTCTGACTTACAGCTGAAAAATGTTTTGAGACTCATTGAGAAAAATAAGTTTTGACTTACTCCATAATTTAATTCCAAAATAAGACGTACAGAAAATGACATTTTCCAGAATGCCCAATAGCAGCAATAAAGCAGTTGAAATGGTTAGAAACATCATAATTTGCAGAAATACTGACCAAAGTCCTTAGCTCAGGTCAAAAATGTTGTGGTTTTCAATGGTGCTGTGCTTCCTGTAGTTTTGAATGCAGCACTTCTAAACCAAAGTCTTGGCCCTTTTTTAAGATGACTGTGTTGTGTGAAATTAGACTAATTATATGCATATGTGTTCAAAACCACTGAGGATTATCCAGGTTCTTCTAAGAGCCTTATCAATATACATTAATATTTAATTGCAGACCTCTCCTTTCTGTGCTGCAAAAGTCACTTCTTATCAGCTGTATCTGGCTAGTGAGATGAAAAAGCTGTTCACTATAAACAGGACTGTGACCTCCAAACTAATTTCACTTAAGCTGTGTAGTTGCTAAACGATAGTGACTACCACCTGATACGGCTTTGAATCAGGTGTCAAATGGCAACTATTTGAAAATCAGCAAAATCTTTACATTAAGATCCTCAATATTTACCTCAAGCATGCTACTAGTCCAGCTGGCATTAATTTCTTGGACCTCTTGAACCTCATTCCCATTATAATGGTCAAAAGAAAAGATGAAACTGTAAAAGACAATTCAATATATTAATGCTCTCACTTCTCCCAGTGGACCATTCAGGAACATAGAGAGTTATCAAAGGTTAGTGCTGTTTTGCTATGAACTGCAGTTTAATAAAATTAGATCAGATATAGGGTATATAAAAACATTCTTGCTTTTCCAAAATATACCACTATGATTTCTTTCAGCTACAAATAAAGTTTCTGCTTGCAGCACAATGCTAAATCTTATTCCATGGATACTAAGTAAGTTTGTGAGACAGTGAATTCTACTCCCCCTGTTACTACGTTCATGGGAATACAAATAAAGGAGGAAGAATCTTTGTAGTAACAGTAACACGTATGCTGAATTACAGGAATAGTGTCTCATAAATCCCACCACCCCAGATCACTGGAGCTGTTTTCTAACTATTCAAGGAGCTAGTGCAGTCAACTTTTTTTCTGTTTTATTTTTAGAATATTAGCTCTTTATTTGTTGAGCCTTAAAAACTAGATTGGAAGTTTTGCCACTTGTTTTTGCTACAGAATATGGCTATCAACATCTCCTTCATTGTGACCACAAGTTCACTTGTATCCTTTTGTTACAAGGGAATCATCCATGTCTGTGACAAGAGGTGGGCAGCCCAAGAGGGAACAAATGCAGCACAAGCAGCAGAAAACAAACATCATGAAAGAAATTGCATCTTCTTTCTGGAATAGTTTTACCAAAAAATGGAGGCAGCAGTGAACTCATCAGGCAGGGGGATTTCATCTCGAACTATGGCTGCAGAGCGCTACGTAAATGAGAATCAGAGAATCATAGAATATGTTGAGTTGGAAGGGACCCATCAGGATCATTGAGTCCACCTACTGGCCCTGCATAGGACACTCCAAGAGTCATACCATGTGCCTGAGAGTATTGTTGACACACGTCTTGAACTCAGACAGGCTTGGTGCTATGACCACTTCCCTGGGGAGCCTGTTCCAGTGTCCAGCCACCCTCTGGGTGAAGAACCTTTTCCTGATATCCAACCTAAACCTTCCCCAACTCAGCTAGATGCTGTTTCCTTGCGTCTCGTCACTAGTCACCACTGAGAAGAGATCAGTGCCAGCCTCTCACCAGGAAGTTGTAGAATGCAATGAGGTCTCTCCTCAGTCTCCTTTTCTCCAGTCTGAACAAACCAAGTGACCTCAGCTGCTCCTCATACAGCTTCCCCTCAAGGCCCTTCACCATCTTCTTTGCTCTCCTTTAGATGCTCTCTATTAGCTTAATGTCTTTATACTATGGTGACCAAAACTGCATGCAGTACTAAAGGTGAGACTGCACGAGAGCAGAGTAGAGCCGGACAATCACCTCCTTTGACCGGCTGGCAATGCAGAGAATACATAAAACTGCAAAGATAGGTGGCTTCATCAAACAATTGTCACCTGAAATGCTTCCTAGAAATGGGCAGAGAGGCAGGACTTCTCATGGGCAGCTGGGCTTTATCATTCTTGCAGCCAAAGTAACGCCAGTTACACAAATCTCTTCTTTTTATGGAGCAGTTAAAAACCATCTGGCTAATTCTCTTCAAACTCCACTGTCTATTCCTGTGAACAGTCCTGTGTTAACAGGTGTCAAAAATTAGTTTTAAACTCTCTCCAGCATTATAAAACAAGCTCTGACAGTTACAAGTATCTTGCAGAATTCTACCAACTTTATGCATTCATTAAAGATACCCTGCAAAAAGACCCTATTACGTTCCATTATTCATTGCTCTTATTTTCTAGTCCCATAGCCTTGATCCGCTCAGGAATGTCTGAAGAGTGGACTATTCCACAGTGTGTGTCTTGCCAGAACTCTGAGTATTTTTACATTTTATTACAAGCTACAAAGCACGTTCACTCTGCAATGTTATTTTTTTCCAGTTGCTAGTATCTGGCTTTTCACAGGTGCCATTGACTTTTTAAGATGTTCAACTTTTTGAACTGATTTTCTAAAGTGCTGTACATTCAGTTTCACCTTAAATCAGTCAAAGAAATTCAGTAAATCATAACAAATTCAATTCAGTGAATCATATTCAGAGCAGAATCAACTTGCACTGTGAATAGCACACTTGCATACCAGCGCTCTTTGCATACTGAAGTCTGACTTTCCACACCTACTTCAAACACATAAAATTGCATTGAAGTATTCAAGAAAGCACAGAGTTAATTTCAGGGTGAGTAGGAAAATGCCTGAAATAATAATTTATAGAACAACTAAGAGAATTGCCTGAAGTATCCATATGCTACATACTCTTTGTATGTAGGACAAGTTACAAGAACCCTACTTTCAAGGTCTTGTACTAAAACATTACCTACATTACTGTAGGAGACTCTTGCCTAGGTGATAAATACTTTAGATAATTATGGGTTTGGAGGGGTGGTTTTTGTTTTAGATTTACTAACCTTTTAAAGGTTTGGGTACTTGCTTCATTTCACATTGTAATTTAGTGTACTGGTTTCTAAGTTCAGAGTGGTCTCTTTAATCACTTAATTTCCATCTTTCATTTGTGCTCTAACTGCTTTTCACACTTTGGCAGGTTAGGCATAAGTGAAAACATTCTGATTTTCTACAGAAGCAATGCACATTTATTATGGAAAGCCCGTACTATTCTGAAAGTATCATATAGAGTAACCACCAAAGGTTGTTAAGGTAGGGGAACGTGTCTAATTTTTCTTTCCTCTGAAGTTTTCCTACTGAGCTCTTCATTCATTTCAGATATCTATGTATCTAGCAGCCAGAAGACTGAGATACACCAGGCTGGAAGAGATTAAGAGCAGCCTGAATGGTTGGTCCTGGCAGAGTACTTTGTACAAGCACTTCCTAATTCGAGGCAAAATGACAACCTTCTTTGTTACATTCAGCACAGGTGGATACTGAGGAGGGCACCCATTCATAGCCAAGGTTAAATATATGTTTAGGTTTTAAGCAATTAGAACATGATCTCTCTGTAAACATTCTAAACTAAGACTGTTTTAAAAAGTCTTTGTTCCTTTTACTCTACATTAGAAAAACTTTCTAAGGCAGGTGTAGTGAACTCTATCTCATCTGTATTGCCATAATTTCTACTAAATAAAAATATACATTTCTTCAGTTGAGAGAAAGTCCTCATATGCCTACAGCTACATGAAATGTAGAACACCGACTATTTCAGTATATCTGATGTTCACAAGCACATTAATGGAAATTTTGTATTAGTCCTTTCAAAACCAAGCAATTGGGAAACAGGCAAAATTTAATAAGTTTTAATTAGTCTCCTCTTCCACAATTTCTGTATCTAAATTAGTGATTTAATTGACCCATAAAAGTACAATTCCATATGCTAGTTAAAAGCATCTCACACTGAATGATTACAAATTTACACATACTTCAGGCTCTGTCTTCATTCCAAAAAAATTTCTTTTTTTTTTTTAAGAGTGGGATAACTTAATCTGGGCCAGGTCATGGTGGCAAAACCGAAAATCCAATTTTAGGTCATCTAGGAGCAGATCAGATACACCATTATCACCTTTATTAAAGAACTCGGTGGGAACAATTTGCTAACAATGCTACTCATGATTTTTTTGAAATGGAAATTTTTATAACTGTGATTGGTGTAAAGCACAAAGCCAGTATGAACAGGATACCATAAGTTCTAAATTCAGAAAAAACAATTGTGTACTCACATAATCTGGATTAAATGAATTTTAAATGCATTTCTGCATGTGAAACCACAGCCTAAGCCACCTTTGCTAAAATGATGAGTGCAACAAGCTCCCAATCGCTCTTATTGCAAATCATTTGTGCAAGATTAATGTCCCCTTTAGGGATTGTAGTTTCTTGTGTCCATGAGGGTTTCATGGCAAACTAGCTAACATGACAATTATCGCATAGTTTGTATTCTGTCTCTCTTAGCAGCAAAGGAAAAACACTAAGTCAAAGTATTTGTTTCACTGGGAGCTGAGGATACATTACATTATGCAAGACTGGATCCCACACCTACTTTACTGCTGAAATTGCTTCCTAATCTGTAAAGCTAATGATTCAATTGCAGTACTATCCCATGTTTCTCAGCTGGATTTCACAATATGTGCAATGTTAGGTAACCATCTAATAAAAGGAGGTGCTGCCAGGTGGTACACACCTGCTGGCTTTGCGTAAATGATTGGCCTTACCTTGAAAATGGTTTCAGTTAAGGTCTTGAATTTTGCAAGCTAAGTTGAAGTGTCAAACTCTATTTAAAACACAATATTTAAACCAAAGCAATACTCAAAATTTACTAAAGAGAGAATTTTACATGCAGTTCAGGATACTGCTTGTTGGTTTGTTTGTTTACTGTAGTAAAACACTTACACAATGATATCTTCACATTTCTCGGATCACATGTTACGCAGTAAGCTCCATAACCAGCCACAGAACCAAAGGTGAGACCAGCAGCTAAAGAGATTTTGCTACCTGGAAGAAACCATTCAAGTGTTATTTCTCAATACAATGTCTTTAAGCTCAATCTTTATATGGCAGTTCTCTCTCTATACAGTATTATCCAAATATTTTGAAAAAGGAACTGATTTTGCCATAGTCCAGCTAGCTCACCCACTGTGAATAGAGAGTATTACTTCTGTAACTGGGTTGTTATCCTGTGTGGTAGTACGGGCAAAGTCAACAAAGAGTAAGATGATCTGGATCCAGTAATACTTGTGATTTGGGAAAAATAATACTTGAAGGACAAACCTAAATTTCACTATTATCACTATCATACATACTTTTAGAAGGATTTTTATAATTTATCTGAACTGTCTGTTCATTTTAATTACATCTTACAGCACCTGGGTCAGGTAGGAGCAAGCCCGGGGAGCCTCCAAAAATCGTAGAAATGTGTCAATATATATAAAGAGTAAATTGGACAACACATGTCCAACATCATAAGGCCTTTCGGTCTGACATCAGTCCTGGACAATAAAATGGTATCACCAACATCACATTTAATTAATAAAAAATAAAAACCCAATTAGATGGCAGTGAGGATGAAAACAGAGCTTCCAAAAGTAACATGACATCTTCTTTCAGTGCTATTGCAAAATGGGTTCATAAATCCCAGAGTTTCAGTAATATATTTAGGTTTCTGAGCACACATTTGTCTTGGTACCATATGATAAAAGCATAGAATCAGCAGGCATTATTTGGATTAAGCTGATCCCAAAATGTTTGTAAATAGAGAATCCAGACCCCCAGGTGTCACTTAGCTCCCAGTCCTGTTATTTTGAATATTTTTAATCAAGACTTTGCAGGAAATTGGAAATCATTACCAATAAAAAAATAATCTATCACAAGGACTGACCAACCAAGAGTGAAGAAAACAGGTGAATGGGATAGTTAGTGAGTGCAGCTGGGTGTAAACACAAAAATACAGCAAATGTTTTCAGAGTGAAGCCATGTCTCTAAGAGCAAAGCATATGCACGCTACGAAGGGAAACAGTGACTCTAAATCAGAAGAATCGAGATGAATAACGGCCACGGGGAAGGAGAGCGCTGCGCTGCTGGGACTTTGTGGGAGAGCTGACGGGACCAGCTCAGAGCTCCCGCCTGCCCGTCCTCGGTACCGCTGCGACCTCTGCCGGGTGCTGGGCTCGGGCACGGCGCTGCCACCTGGGGGACTGCAAAAATCACTGAAATACCGAAAATGCGCTTTATAGTAAAACGGCCTCCTTATCTTAGAGTGAAAAGACACAGTTCTAACAGTACGAGAGAATTAACCACCAAATCAGAGTATGCAAGTAAAAGCGGTCCTTTCCAGTGTTTTTCTGGGAATGTCAGAATCAAGCCTGGATGTCTCCGTAGAAAATAAGCTGTAATCAAAGATCAACTACTGTGCTCAACACAGGAATAGTTACAGGAAATGAGAAGGCCCGAAACACACCAAAGGTCAAAGATAACATGACAGCCCCTCTTTGCCCTGAAAACAAACTCATCAGTTACCACTTAAATGCCTAAGCTGACCCAAGAACACCTCGTGAGACTCAGTGCATTTACAGCAGTGCAGGATGGATTTAACATGCAGTTGTGTTAATTACAGCAAAACTTTCACGTCTCACATTGCATAGAGGAAATTCAAACACTTCATTTCCAAATCCTGCTGCCTCAATATTTACCTTTACGAGTGTATGCTACAACACCTCCAAAAGCCAGCAATGAAGCATATGCAAAACCAATCCAGTCAATAGCCATGGTCCCAGCTCTGAAAGAGAAAACACATTCCAACTGAAGGCAAACAAATTCCTTCCTCCTGGTAGAAAGAAATCATTACTTAAAGGTTTCTAAATAACACCACACTCTTCTAAATCGTGTTTGACTACTATGCCAAAACATTCAGAAGGTATGTCTGTTGGCTATTGTACCACCTTTTCACTAACTGCTGCCCTTCCTTATACCCCACTATCCAGGTATTTCCATTAGGGGATTTTTTGGGATGTGTGTGGCATGCATTTTTCCCAGTCAAAAATAAATGTATGGAAGCAAAAATCTTGACATCACCCAAAGCATTGGTTTTCTTGCATTTGTGCCACAGGGTCGATCTGGGAACACACTATGGATACATACAGGTCTTCTGAGTGCACAGCTCAGTGCCCTTTCAGCCACACTGCACCCGGTGCATTTCAAGGAGGACGCCATAGACCCTGCAACACTAGGCAAACCCAGAAATTTTCACAGTCTACCCAGGCAGAAGTTTCCAGGCAGAAACTTAGGCTGTTTTGGGAAGCTATACGTACACTAGCTTTATCCTCTCTGTGTCTATGCCCCTCTTGTTTCACCTTTCCATTTTGATGACTGTCGGAAGTTAGGCTCATGTCCTCCATAAAGCATTTAAGTTTCTCTTGTGATGTCGGTCCTTACTCCGCCGGGTGAGCTGCGTGAAGGCAGCAGTGGCAGTGCCGGGCAGTGCACTGCAGCCCGACAGCCCTCGCAGCGCCACAGCTTCTCCCACCAGTCTGGGACGCATCTTTCCCCCCCTTCTCCCAGATAAAGTGTACACTTAATTAAGCGCATCTTTCTTTATACCTGAGCGGGTGTGCCCTTGATCACAGCGTTAAAGGGTGGCAGCAAAGAGTGCACACTCAGCATTTCATGTCAAGCCTTTAATATTAAAGCAAGCAACTCGCAACTAGCCCCCTCCCCGCCGGCTGTAACCCCCTCAGGGCAAAAGGTGGATTCGGGGACCACGGCGCCTCCGAGAACGAAGTCTGACGCGGCAGGGGCCAGGCTCACGGCCCAGCCTTCGGGGCCTGGGCAGGAGGCCCTCGGCGGAGCGCGGCCGGGGCCCTCCATCTCCCGCCCGGCCCCGCGCTCGCTCTCCCGCTCTCCGCGGTGGAGACCCCGCGACAAGGCCGATGCCCCGCTCGCCCTCGGCCACCCCTGCCGCGGCTCAGCCTCCCCCCCCGCCCGCCGTACCTCGTCCCGCCGCCCTCCGACCTGCCCCAGCCCCGCCTCCCGCGCCCGGCGGGCACTGTGTGGCGCCGCGGTCCCGTCTGGCCGGCCCGGCCCCGGCTCGGTCCCTCGGGAGGCCCTCCCGCCGTTATGGCGGCGCCGCGGCCCGGCCCGCCCGCAGCGCCGCTGGCGGAGCGGAGGCTGGTGGTGCTTGGAGAGGCCGGGCCGCGGGGAGACGAGTGGTGGGTGAAAAGTTGTCGGTGAGCCGGCACTGTGCCATTGCGGCCGGGAAGCAAATGGTATCCTCGGGTGCATTGGGAAGAGCGCGGCCAGCAGGTCGAGGGAAGTGATCCTCGCCCGCTACTCAGCCCTAGAGAGGCTGCATCAGGAGTTCTGGGATCCCTAGTACGAGAAAGACAAGAAGGTCCAACGGAGGCCACGAAGATGATGATGAGCCTGGAGCATCTCTCTTATGAGGAGAGGCTGCAGGAGCTGGGCCTGTTTAATCTAGAGAAGAGAAAACTGAGAGGGGATCACATTAATGCATATAAATATCTCAAAGGCGGGTGCCAAGAGGATGGTGCCAGGCTGTTTTCGGTGGTGCCCAGCAACAGGACAAGGAACAATTGCAATAAACTAAATAACAATAAACTAAAACACAAGAAGTTTCACCTCAACATTGAGGAAGAACTTCTTTACATTGAGGGTGGCAGAGCACTGGAACAGACTGCCCAGGAAGGTTGTGGAGTCTCCCTTTCTGGAGACATTCAAAACCCACCTGAACACATTCCTGGTTCACCTGCTCTAGGTGACCCTGCCTTGGACTAGATGAATTCCAGAGGTCCCTTCCAACCCTAACAATTCTATGATTCTGTGAGATGGGACTGTGCTGGCGCAGGGCAGTGTGGCTGTGCACTGTGATTGTCGGGGCTCCTCTGCAGGAGCGCCCAGCTCATGGGGGATATCTCCTGCCTGTTGAAACTCCTGATCCAGCCCTTCAGGCAGTGGAAAGATCCGAGGCTTATTTTACTGTTTGAAGCCCACCCCCCTCTCCTCCCCGCCATGTTTGGGATGGAAGAACTCCTGATGGATGTTTGGGATGGAAGAGTCATGTCTGCAGAGCTGCTTATCCCCAAAGGGCACCCATCCTATGGAGACCAGGGTGAGGGTGTGCTGCCTGCAGCACGTCACAGACACCCTACAACCCAGTGATGAGCACTCACTGCTGTGCCAGGCACCCCTCTGCCCTCACAAGTTCCTCTCTCTCTCCTCACCTGCATCTTTTGAAACTCTGAGGGCTATCTGCATGAAGTCAGGTGAGCAGGCACATAGGCTGAATGCTAGTACATGTTTATCAGGGGAAACAGCAGGCACAGCCCCTGATACTATACACATAGCTAATTTATGAAACTGCTTGATGTAGTTTTTTTAACACCCCGACTTCTTGTCTGCTAGCCCTGTTTGCTGGACCTGTTCCACTACAAGCTATTTTTGTCCATATTTTGTCACTCTCCGCAGTGTTTCTTTAACTTTCTCTCAAGTGAGCCATTCTTGACCACTGCAGGACGTGTCCTTCAGCAGTAATTCAGGGGTGCCTATCTGTGACATGCCCCACACTTCCCTTGTTCCCACAAACAGACTGAGCATAAACATGGCCACAACAGGGAGAGACTTACAATGCCTTGTAATGGGACTTGGATACCTGCCTTCTTCAGGGGTCATTTGAAAATCTCTGCCAAAATCCTGTGTTTCCTTTAGATTTCTTTGCTTAAAGGTGTGGGAGTTTTCCGCTCCGAAGAGCTAGCTGGAAAGCAAATTAGTGTTCTCATTAGGGTTAATGTATTTAATTTCCACTCCTAATGTTCCATTTGTTTTTTTCCTGTTAGTTTTTAACTGCTCTGATACAAACCCACTGCAAGTGAGCTGTCCAAGTCTGTCTGCTTGGTGGAAAACAGAACTGTTCTCATCTGACTAGTGTTTGTGGGAAGGAACGCTGAAGGTAAAGCAACTCTGGAAAACAAATACAGGACACTTGAGGGCAGGACAGCTCCAAAATGCAAACAGAAAGTGGATTCATAAGCTGAAATCCAGCAGTCTTGTATTTCTTTATGAAGTATTCCGAGACTTGCGGCTCTTAAAAAGCACAGTAAAATAAATAGTGGATTAAATGGAGTAGAACCATGCAACTCTATTTGAGAGGGTTCCAAAGCAGAAGAAATACAGTGTCTTTTGGCACCTCTAGGATAGTGACCAGTTGTGGTTACTGATTCAATGATACTCTCACTTAAGTAGACTGGATAACCCTGAAGTCTGGGCTAAATTGGAATTCACATAATTATATGCTGCTTGTTATGTTCTCTTCCATTTTCAATTATGAAAATATTTGGTACTGTTCTCCATAAGCTGTTACTTAACTATTCTCTGATGTGAAATGGTTGCTGTATTTAACAGCACAGGTGGGAGGATTTTAATTGTAGGAGAATTCATTAAATTAGTTTGTTGGTAGCATGACAAATCAAACCCCTCAGTCCTAACAGTGAAATATAACAGAGCTAGCAGCAAAGCTAGTGTTACTGTTGCTATGTGCTTTCTAGTCTAGTTTTCATTTGCTTAAAGCTGCCAATCTGAGCTGAAATTTCCCTGTTGGGTGTCTGCTTCCAGCTGTTTTGTTTTAGTTTGTTTTGGTTATTTTGTTTTGTATTGTGATTTGTTTGCTTTGGTTTTGGAAAGTTCCATTTGCAACAATCGAGCCAACTACAAGGATGAATTTAGGGGAGAATACACAGTTTTATCCATTATAAACATAAGCATTTCACTGAACAGCCTCTAGCATCTCTCTGCTTCACAAAAACAGCTTTCAAATTTGGCAAGCAAATTGCTTAAGTTTCAGGGATATGTTTTTTCATCTTCATGAAAATGTGACCTGAAGAGAAAAAGGCTAAAAATGTTAACTGGAGGCTTCTTAAAATTGCACAGCCCAGTCCCCAGAAATTTCCACGTATGTTGGTCATGTGTGACCTTGTGTTAGCCCCACCTACATTCACATATGAATGTATGCACTCTCTCCTGAGAAAGGCTGAGCTTGTGCCTTGCTTTGCTTATATTGTGTCTAGAATAAGAAGCCTCTAAGGGGGTTGTAGTACAGCCCATCTACCTCCCTTGAGACGTTTTTGCTGAGGCTACCTGTGGCTGGAGAGGACGTTGGAAGAGTGAAACATATAAAAGACCTCTCTCTACTGTAAGCTGTCTGTGTTTTTTTGTTAGTCTTCCTTTATTAACACTAAAGGCTACTCATAGTTGTAAGCTCCAGTTAGGATTTAATGTTAACTGCTATCCCAGACCATAATGTGAAACAGGAGTATGTCTCTGAAATCGCAGATACAGAAGAAATGATCCTGAGGGTAGGGAAAAGGAGCAGCTAAGCACCCTGAGACAGCTGTAGTTCCAGAAGATTTAAATGCAAAGATTGTTATCTTCATTGGGTTTGACTATGGAAAAGGAAGAGGAGACAAAATATAGTTTCTAAAATGCAGATTCAGAGGCTTCAGGTTTAATAATTTGTAGTTAATTAAGGAAGAAGTCAGTTGTTATGTTCGAGTACAAAAAAGTGACTGTTAAATTCTGCAAGCTTTTGTGTCTACACACACATACGTAGAGAAGCAATGAGAAGGACGGTGGTGTTAAAGGAACAGAAGGTTGTTTTCAAAGGCTAAGGAGAGCGATGTACAACCTGTTGGACTGATATTACCCTGCAGTCCTGAGGTGTCACTTGCTTGAAAATTTATTATGAAAGCTTGGATCCAGAATCATCAATCAAATAGTAAAAGGCGGAGATACTGCTTTTTATAATAACCATAAAGTAATCTGACAGGCAGTCACATAAACTAAGACCTTTTATATGAACTAAACCTATGAACAGGGACTGCAAAGCCTGCAAAGGAAAAAGAGTTGGGTCCTTGGGCAGTGATTTCACGGGAGATAGTGCTCAAATTTAAAAGCTCACTGCTTCCAAAAGGGCCTCTTCATTTCCAGTTTTGCTTTTCAGTCCCTTATTTTGTGCAGTAATGGTTGAGTTTTGCTCCTTCTCTCCCAGTCCTCATCGACTGAGTCAACTCAGTAGCCCAGAAAAAACATAACCAGGCAGAAAAATGCATCACTTTCTGCTGAATTCATTCAATCAGTCATGTGTTTCAATTAGCTAATTCAGGAGGGCCTACAAAGCATCAGGGCACAAAGGAAGAGCTAGGATTGCATGACTGGGTGGGAGGCTGGGGAGAGCCTCTGCAGGCATTTGCAAAAAAGGGTGAGATTAACTGTAGCTGTGCATTTTCTTTGACTTGTCAGGGAACTTTGCCTGAAATGCAAGAAAGCATTATGGTATGGCACCTACTGAAATTCTTGGTAAATTCAGTGAAATGCAACTCAGAATTATGGCTGGTCCGTAGTATCTCAGGAATCTTCCCAGACACTGAGTCCAGCGAACACTGAAAAAGGTACATGCCCACAAAAACCTTGCTGTGGGCCTTGGGAACTGACAATATCCACAATTTTAGTGTGAGGTGTCCAGAGGAATTAAGTTCCAGCTACATGTAATAGTGAAGAGATTAATAGGAATTAAATACAAGAATTGGGTTGTGATATGCAGTGATTTGGGAGAGCATATGTAAAACTGTTTCTGCCCATCAAGCGTAGTCAAAAGGCTGTAGCTGGTGTTAAGAGTGAGTGATTAAACTGCCTTGGGTTCTGCTCAGTGTAGAGGTTTGGTTTTCCTAGCTAAGTTCTCAAAAGCTGATAGACTTCATCTTCTGAAGAAATGGAGGTTTTCCTCTTCAGTATCCCAGGAGTCCTTGGTCTAACTAAATCCAGATTAGGACCACTAGCTGTGCTCTGCTTCTAAGATATCCCAAATTTCCCATCTTTTTAGTAAATATGTGGATTTTAAAGTGGTTCAGGAAGTTTGAGCGAAATCCCAAGGGATTTCAAAGATATTTGAAGTGGCTTGTTTGTCATTGTGTGGTGTTTTCATCTGATTGAAAATAACTCATGAGGATGAAAATTTCTTGGGTCGAAAGAGGAATTTTTGTGTGTGTATATATTTTCAGACCCTTTCACTGATATTTGTCATCGTATCAGATCTCTTATACATCTCACTACTATGTGCTTGGCACAGAGGGATTTCTTTTCTGCTGCACATACTAAGAGACTAGAGTTTTCCAGACAACAGCTCGCTGAAGGACAGAGGCACAGGATCTCTTGCCCTCTCCAGATTTGCCAGAGACGTTGAGTCTTACCTAAAACCTATATATGCCTCAAAGCAGCTTCCTGGGCTGAAAAATAGTTTGAAGCTAGGGAAGTTTTAGGATGAAAGTTCATATATACGTGCCCTGTCCTTACTCTTTCCTAGACACCAGTTCATGCCCACTGTTCTTGCTCTGTCTCTTTTGCCCATGGCTGTTGATTGAGACAGGAGCATGAGCTGGCTGGACCTTGTTCAAGTCAAGTATGGGCAAGCTTGTGGACAGAGGTATCCACATCATAGGCATCCTTCACATCAGTCGCACACTAAAAAGAAGGGAAAGTAAGATACAACATCCCTCCCAGAAGGAAGAAGTCTGTGAGATCCTAGCTTTTATGGGGTACACAGAGGGTGGTTCAGACTCTGATTTTGCAATAACTGATTTCAACTGCTGATCTCCCCATTCTCAGTCACTTCCTTGAACCATGTCTGGCATTCAGTGAACTGTGTGCTGAGCCATGATGATAAATCATCAGAAAATTTAGCTCACTGCTGACATTTCTGTTCTGGAACTGCAGTCTGAACTCTGATCCTTAGAGCTGATCCTTGCTCATGTGTTGACGAGGGGAGTGAAAGGTAAAGGGACAGTCCCACTCAAACCCACATCCCATACTCTCAGGGGTCAAATAGAAGGGATTGAGGCTGCCCACAACATGAGCCTCAGTTTGGAGACAGTGAATGTGATCAGTATTTATAAAATCAAGGCAGTGGGTAGAATGAATAAAGATTGTTCTCCAAATCCTGCAGAGCTAGAACTAGGGGCAATCATTGAAACAAGTAGGGGATTGGCTTAGAAAAGATAAAAGGGAATATACTTTTTTTTTTATGTAGCAGGTATAGTGAACCTCTGAAATTTGCTGCCAGCAGAGGTTTTGGAAGCAAATAGGTCAGCACATTGGAAAGGAGACAAAAAAATTAAATATACTGCATGTTCATAAAGAGATGCTAGAAAGAATGAGTAGCAATATGCTCCTTAGCATCCCTAATACAGTGATTGTGGGTACTGGGGATGAATATAGGAAATGTATATGCCTGGCTTGCATGTTCTCTTTAAATAGTATCTTTTGTTATTAAAGAAAGGATACTGGGAAGAGCTGGATGTTGACCTAACCCACGGGACATCCCTTGTGTTCTTTTCAGGGCTCTAATTTTGTGTCTGCAGGTATGCAAGGGTAAATGTGATGTTGGTAGGAGTTTATATTTTATTTTTTGAAGGTGATGTCTCAAGGTTCTCTTATTTCAGTGAAACCTGAACCTTAGATCTCTAATGCTGCATTGTACCCTACTGAGGATATACATACAGGTTTAGGACAATCCTCATAGTATTGGCACTTAGAAAGGGACCCTTAGACTAAACTACAGCCCTCCTGATGGTGCACTTTTCCCCTGGGATCCTTCTGCTCTGTCTGCATAGAACTTGATGAATACTCATGTCTCAGGAAAGATTTTGTAAGCTATGACAGAATTTCCCCCAGGATATCGGTGTATTATGGAAATATTATTTGAGAGTCTTCTGCTGGAAAACATCTAGTGCAGCTGAAGGAGAGAGTGTGCCAGATTAGACAGATTACTAGGCATGAATCCCAGCCTTTATTTGTATGAGTATTCCTTCTGCCTTTAGATAATCACATTAACATCAGGAGTATTGCTTATACAAGTACTACTGAGAAAAAGTAGTGAACAGGCTTGGGCCCTCAAAGCAA